GAAAACTAGGCAGGTGACAGGTTGCTCCTAGGTATGGGCTTCCTGCGGATTGCCTGGATAATACTTTGCAAGCATCAAGCTGCTGAATTTAGAAAGGTCCGTGGGGGCCCTTCCTGTTGGAGCTACTGCAAACCCTGGTGCTCAGCTCAGAGGGTAGGGAGTTAAAATTAGAAACAGCAGTCAGGTTACAAAGATTGCTCCTCCGGCCTGACACAGTGATGGGATCTTTGTTTTAAGAGCATGGGAAAATAGACGTCCCCAGCCCCAACAGAAGTGATGAGAGACATAGCCCGTATTTCGTGCAGTCTTTCCTAGATACCTTTCCCCAAATTTATATCTCCCACACACTCAAGGCATCTAACTTGGAGGAGGGCTACTGCCGAGGATTTAATATGTAGTCACACGCAACAGCTACTGCAAAGGTTTAAACCAATGTAGTCCCCATCTCATGTCCTAACCACAGCCAGGTCCTCCAAGAGGAGGTATCTCTTTGGAGTAATGGCGCTGGTGGGTTTACTCCCAAGTCTGTCTTGTGGTGGAAAAGTGCAGCGTTGTACTTCTGGGGAGTAATACTGCAGGTCTGGAGGTCTGATTCTGGGGGGTCTTTGTGTTCACGGAAGTGAGTTTTCCCAACCCATTCCTAACCCCCTGATAGGAGGAGCACCATTTGCCAAGAAGCCACCAAGCCCTGTAGTGTCAGTTCACCTTTGGATTCAAGAAAATAAAAAGGAGCTTGCAGGGCACATTCAAACTGAGCTTGGAAACTCTCCCCGCCTTGCAGAGCAAAGCCTGCTGGAGGAGCCTGAGGTCCAGAAAAAATAACTCAAACTACACCTTCCTGAAAGGCATCTGGGATTTCAAGTGGCTGGAGATAAATATAGTGCTAGGTGAGAAAGGACCCACCAGGAAAAGGGATAATTGCTCTCCCTTAGTGAGAACAGTTTCTGCCAGCACGCATCTGCAAAGCCCTCTCAGCTCTAGAAAGCAGATTTCTTTTATTTCAGTGGTTTGCACTTTCGTTTTCCGTCGTGCTCTTCATGATCTTTCACTGAATATTTCCTATTTAAAAAACAAACAAACAAAAGCAACATATATCCAACATGTATCAAGAAGCAATTTGTCTTGCTGGTAAAAAAATATGTATAGCGAGAGAGATGCACAGCAAAACATGCCGCACAGCTGTGCAAGTCTCACATCGCCTCTATTCCTTCCTCCGCAGCTCTGCTGAAAGACAGCAGCTGTAATCCCCTGCAGGTGGTGACAAGCATTATCTTTCCAGCTGGTAAAAATGTGACTTTTGAGCGGGCTGGTAACACGTGTTCCCTTGCTGTAAGAGGGAGAGGGAAGTTGCAAGATCGAACATGCAAGTGAGTCACACCAACCGAGGGGAAATGTAAACTTTGGAAGCGGTGCCAATGTGAGAGACGTAATTGTGAGGAACCTGGTGCAGCTGGGCGTTTCGTTCACAGAAGCTCTGGGTGGTCCTGGGAAAGACTGACAGAGGGAAGAAACTCCTACTTCAGCAAAATGTCTCTGAGACCGATGCTGCAACGGCTGCACAGCACCACTGAACGGGGCTTTTCGTGTGCAGGCAGTTTGTGGGCAGAGGGCATGCTGCCCCTGACAAGGGGAGACACATGCGTGAGTCATTGCTCAAACACTGAAGATGCAGAGCACAGACACGAGCGTGACAGTTCTCATGGGAAGGAACTCGGGTGATTTCAATTTTCCTTTTTTTTTTTTTTTTTTTCCTTTTAAGCAAGCACGTTGAATTTAGTCCAGGCTCCTGAATCTCTCTGTCCCCTGCTTTTATATGATCTTATAATTGCATTTTTGTGTTTTATTTAATTATTCTCACTGGCGCTGCCTGAGATGCATACAAGTAGGGAACTTACTGACTCAACACAGATAGGGTGTGATGTTGACTATGCGCAATCTGCTTTAAAATGAAGAAAGTAAACAGGCTGGAGGAGAAATCTTGGGAAATGTTCTGCTTCTCTCAGTAACCCATTCAGTTCCAGAGGTGGCTTTTAGCAACTGCGGTCAAAACCCCTTCACAAAAAAGTATGATCTGGGAGCCAATGAACATCTTTAAAGTTTGCCATGTGATGAATGTCTCGAGCTGCTGCCTGGCTGAGCCTGCAAGTCCCACTGCAAGCACTGTAAGATGCTTTTGGGCAGCTCTGCTAGGATCAGCTCTTCCCACACTAGACATCTCCATCTGAGCAAATTGTCTAGACTCCCTTTGTACTCAGCAGAGAAAAATAGGCCGCTGAGAGTGTAATTCATCTCCTCCTAATGTAGATGTCTACAGCAGATGAATCACGCTCTTTTCAGCCTCTCTCTCCCCGCTGGTTATAATCGGAGTTAGGATGACGAGCTCCGAGGGAGACACCTTCACTGGAAACATTTAAAGTTAAGTGGATACATGCCACTTCCAGTGCATGTCTCATGCCAAGCTCAGATCAACCGCTGCCAGGCTCAGTGCCTTTCTGAACCCAGAATCGATGCATCAGAACGCAGACATTTCACTGTGTTTCCTGTGAAATCAAAATGTTTCTGCGCGCAACTCTGTAGCTGCCAGCCCCTGCTGATGTGGTGTTCACCCATGTAGACCAAGGCATGTACTCAAGATGTGAGGACTCAGCCTGTTAATGTAATACTGGAATACCAAAAAATGCATCAGTATTGCTGTATCAGAGGAGAGTAAATTTGCATTTTCCTGTACTTTAAAGCCACTTTAGTTTTAACATTTAATTTTAAGCTTGCATTTCAGTCCTTTGAGGTAATATTCATCTCACATAGTTTTATGGGTGGATTTAGCAGTTTATAAGCCCATGACTAATTCAGTTTAAGATGCTCTGGAGCATCCCTGGTATCTGCAAAGGGCTTGTCATATGACTCCAGACCTACCGGAGACCTTTAGACCAACACTGGGAGGTCAGACAGGATTCCCTAGGGCATCTCAGTTGGCACTAAATATCTATGTTTAGATAGGTGAATTGAACTTAACCTGTCTGAAAGCTGGTCATGATCATAGGTCTGAAAATGCCTGCAGAGAAAATACGGAGCTTAGACTTCCAGATGAGACAAGACATCAGACTTTAAGACAGCCAAGGTTCAACTGAGCTGCACCCAGAAAGAGGTCTAGTTCCAGCTGAGGTGTCCTAGGAAACCCAGGACATCCAGATGAGACTAGCAGAAGGGACTGCCCTTCCAATAGTGGCGACTCTAGGAAGATTCAGATCTTTCTTACTTTCTGTGACTTAAGGGCTATGTGGCTGCCTTGGACATCCTGGAGGATCTCAGGTAGCACTGTAACCCCGTGTGGGAGGATCTCAAATTGCACTGTAAGCCTATATGAAGGCAACTCAGCTGAGACCTAGCTGTCCATTGACTACTCCGCATAGACAACTATGTCGTAGATGCCTTAAGTTACATATCCTAATCAGGAGCTGAATCGTACCTCTTAGTTTTGGTGAGATGAACCTTATCTCTGGAAATCAATTCATTGGCTATGAGTTTAAGAGATTGATCCTGAAAATCATATCAATATTCATTATTTGATTTTCAATATTAATTATTTCAAAGTGACTTCATGATCCCTCACAAACCTACAACAATACACACACACATTTTCACCATATGATTTAAGGCATTTTGTTTTCACCCTCTCTTAGATTTTTGCTACTTTTTTCCCTGCAAATTATTGATAAAAGGGATTGCTTCCCAAAGAGGTGCACACATGCATGCAGTTGAGGCATGGTCAGACTTCTCCTGGCATTGCTTGGGCATTTACTTATAAATTGCACCTGGGATACACTGCACCAGGACAAAAAAATAATAATAATAACCCAGTGGAAAGTAGCAATTAAATCAAGACCTCAGTTCTATTGCTATTTGCAAAGTCCAGCCATTCCTGTAAGTGCTGGAGTCTCTTTCAGTTGATGGCTGCAGCACAAACGCTCAAACTTTTTTCCACGTTAAAGGTAAACTTTGTTAAATATAGCTGGCTGGCTGCAAGGGTGAGGCACTGAGCAATTGCAACTCCTGTTAGCTTCAGAACAGGGCTTATATTGAAATGTTCGAGTCTAAAGTGCTTAGACGTCATCAATGGCATATTCAAATGTACTTACAAGGAAGTGGACTTTACCCACCTCTCATTTGGTCAAGGTAGCATTTATCCATTTCTCACAGATACACGAGAGGTGAATTAACTCATCCGTTTCATCTACCACTGTGTCACTAGATATTACCGTGATAAGCATGGTATAAACGGATAGGTTGCCAGGAGAAGGAAAGAGCTACTGGGATGACCCTTCTGGACTTCCAGTGAAGTGAGGAATGATCTCAACTTCTACTAAATACAAATAGCGAAAGTGGGAGCATTCAGGACTTTGATATCTGAGACCCTTTATCTGGGTACAGAGAGGGAAGGGAAGGGAAGGGGAGGGAAGGGGAGGGAAGGGAAGGGAAGAGAAGGGAAGGGAAGGGAAGGGAAGGAAAAAAGAAAGGATGGTAGGAGAAAAAATGAGTGTACATGTCTGTGGGCTCTGACCAGACTTTGGCAATGAATCCAGATTTTGTCATGATTCTGTAATTGGCAATCTTTCCAGAAAAAATGGCATGCAACAGACAAAAGGCATCCTGAGGTCAATCAGATATGATGCCCAGGAAAGCCACAGGTCACTCAAGCAGCAAACAGCATGGTTCCTCTTAAAAGAAAGGGGACAAGAAGATATCACAAACAAACAAAATCTTTTCCCTGAAACCACTTTTCTATTGAAACCACTAAATCTTAATGGGTTTGCCAGCCCTCTAGAAATGAGGGCAGGTAAATGCAATTTTACTCACAGGATTCAAAATAAAGTTTAACACATTTAACTCAGAAGAAAAGCCAGTTATGATGGCTTGACTCACTGGAGTTACTGCAATATGTAATGAAAATATACTTTAAAAAAAAAGAAAAAAAGAAAAAAACCAGTTTTTGATAAACAGTTCTAGAAGTCCAGGTCATCCTGGTCAATCTCATCAGAGTCTTCTTTCTTTTTAGAAGCCTGAACCTCATCAGTATGGTCATCCTCCTTTGGATCTTCACTTTCAGCATCCACCTGATCCTCCTCTCCCATGGGATCAGTGCAGGAAGACGCTTTGTCCTCTTCTTCTTCCTCACTGTCAGGATACATCTTTGAAGGCTTGCTGCTCTCATCACTTTGAGTCTCTCCATTGGGGAGGTCACTTGTGGGGTTATTGTTGTCTTTGCATTCCTCTTCTTCATCATCAGACCCTTTCTGGGATTGCTGTGAGAAGTTTCCGATGGAAGAATAACAAGAAAAGGCGGCTGCTTTGTTCAAAGTCTCTGATCTTTTGATGTTTTTGTTTCTTCGAACCTTGGAAGCTCCCAGAGAAGCTTTGCTGTTGCCTTCATCTTTGTATTTTTCATTTGCCTGGTCATGGTCATTACTGGTTGGTTCCTCATCATTCTCCTCACATTTGTCACCTCCTTCATTGTTGTTTTCCTCCTTGAGTGAGCATGTCTCACTTTCTGACTCTGGGTTTGCTTCTTCCAGCACCTCAACATCATCTCGGGTTTCCTGCTCAGCTTCTTCATTTCCTTCTGAAGCATCTCCTTCAACACTGTCATCAGCCGCAGAGCCATCAGCATGTCCTCCATATTCAGATGCCTCCTCCTGTTCAGCAGCCACATTAACCCCACTTTCTGGTTCCTCTGCTTCTCTTTCAGCTTCATCTTCAGCTTTAGACTCCTCTTCAGCTTCCTGCTCTTCATGTTGTGTTTCTTCTTCTTGTTCTTCCTCTTCCCTGTGTGCTTCCTCCTCCTCTTCCTTTATTTCTTCCTCCTCTTTTGCTTCCTCTTTTTCCTCTTCTGCTTCTTCCTTCTCCTCATTTGTTTTTTCTTTCTCTTCTTCCCCTTCCAGCTCCTCCTGTTTTTTTTCTTCTTCATCTTCTTTTGCTTCTTTCTCCCCCTCCTTTGTTTCTTCCTCCTCTTCTTTTACTTCCTCCCCCTCCTCTTTTGTTTCTTCCTCCTCTTCTTGCCCTCCCTTCTCCTCTTTTGCTTCTTCTTCCTCCTCCTTCACTTCCTCCTCTTCCTCTTTTGTTTCTTCCTCCTCCTCCGCTTCCTCCTCCTCCTCTTTTGTTTCTTCTTCCTCCTTCACTTCCTCCTCCTCCTCTTTTGCTTCTTCGTCTTCCTCCTTCACTTCCTCCTCCTCCTCTTTTGTTTCTTCTTCTTCCTCCTTTGCTTCCTCCTCCTCCTCTTTTGCTTCTTCTTCTTCTTCCTCCTTCACTTCCTCCTCCTCCTCTTTTGTTTCTTCTTCCTCCTCCTCTTTTGTTTCCTCTTCTTCTTCCCTCTCTTTCATTTCTTGGCCCACTTCTTCCACTTCCTCCACTTCTTCTTCCCTGGTCTCTTTATCTTTAACCTCATCCTCCATCTCACAGTTTTGACTGCCTGATATTTCAGGTTCTTCTGCATCTTCATTCAACCCTGATTCACCCACCTCATTTAATTCTGACTCCTTTTCTTCATTGCCCTCCTCTTCCACCTCACTTGGCTGGAGTTCACCTTCATCATTCTCCCTGTTTGCATTGCCATTCTCTGCTGCTTCCTCTAGAGGGTTGCTGGAAACTGCCTTGTTGTCCTGGGCTGCTTCTGATTCACAGATTTCCTCATCATCATCTTTCTTCATCTTCAGGATCTGATGTAAATCAAATGCTTTCATGACTGGGGCATTGGTGGCCACCACTGGGTTTCTTGTGGGCTTGGAAACCATTTTTTTCCTCACACAAGAGTCACATGGGCAATATTCTTCCTCACTTGGTTGTTCACTAACACTGGCCTCAAAAGCTGCATTAAATGCTAGCTCTTCGTCTACATCAAACGATAACTCTGATGTGCCTGCCAACCTACTCTGGGTTCCATTCTTGTCACTGAAGAATGACTTTTCATGCATAGTCTGCAGTCGCCGTCTCCTCTGCTCAATGTGGAGCGTTGACTCACGCTTGAGTGGTTGACACGGAGGTCTTGGCGTCTTCCTCCCTGCTCTGCTTTTGATCTTCCTCAGCTCCCTCTCTATGCTTTTTTGTATCCTTTTGCTCACTTCCTCCTTCAGCTCCAGGATCATTTCATCCAACTGCTGGTTGTCCTGTAGGTTCCACCTGACTTTGAACTCATTCATGGCACTGACGTAGTGAGTCATGAACTCCTTCTCGATTTTCTTGAGCAGCTTCAGGACCCAGATGGGGTCCGGATCCATTGGGTTCTGTTGGACAAGAGATGTGTCCACAGCAGTGTCTGCCTCAACATGGGACTCTGGGTCATTTGGAGACTCTTCTACAAGCTGCTTTTCCAAATCAGCTTTTAGTTTTGTGTCACTATTGGCATCACTGATGTTTGCATCATTGGTAGTAGCTAGCTGATCAGCTGCATTCTGAAGATTTTCTTTTGGGAGGTCATCATTTACAGCTTCAGCTCCTTGTTCTCCATTTTCAGCTAATTTATTGTTTTCCTCATTTTCGTTTTCTCCCTCTTCCTCCTGACCATTTTCACAGTTATTGCACTGATCCTCCTTATTATCTTCTGCCTCCTGAATTAGAGAGTCCTCTCTGGTAGACTGTGCTTTTTCCTCACCTTTCAATTTTGAGCAGGCTGTTGAAGGTCGGGATGACTGCTCTTCCTCTTTATCTTGCTCCTCAGCCTCAGTCAGTTCAGTGCCAGTCTCTGCAGTTTCCTCTTGTCCAGCTAATTTGGATTCAAAAGTTTTCTGTGCCAATAATGTGCAATCTCTGGCACCAGCTGTACTCTCTTCTCCTGAGCCACTGGAACCACTGCTAACATCAACCCCAGAGGAGGACATGGGAGTGAAGTCATCATCTATGGATTTGGGGACTTTAAACCCAGAGCTTGCCTTTGCCTGATCACTTGCTTCTTGGCCTGAACTTGGACCACTTTTTTCAGCTGTGCATCCGAACCACAGGGCTTGAAAAATATTTAGCAGTTCCATATACCTTGGCTTATTCAAACGCTTTGATTTATCTGATGGATCTTCTGACTCTTCATCAAGGAGCTGGAGACTGGCAAGACAAGTAATCAAACTGATGGCAGAATCACTCAGTTTTCTCCCCATAGTGGGGGACACTTCAGGCAAACTGTGTGACCGATCGAATTTTGTTTCATGTTTTGAACCGAGCAAGGCCTTCATGATCTGCACAGAAGTCTGGATAGAGGTTGGCAGGTCTCTTCTGATGTTATTTTGGCTTGATGCAACTGACTGGCTACATTCTGCCTGGCTGGCCTTGGCAGGTTCTGACACCACCTCAGAAGTTTGTTCCTGATTGAGGCATAGTTCACCCTCTTCATTAATAGCACTGGCTTCAGCTGTCTCTTTTTCCACTTCATCGTTTGGTTCATTTTCCTCCTCCTCCACATTCTTTTTCCCAGATTTTTCCTCTTCTGAGATTTCTTCAGCATTTGTACGGTGTGATACCTCAGTGGTTGCCTCTATACATGCCTCCTCTCTGGCTTCCTCCATTTCATATTTCATAAGTAATGTTTCTGAAGGGATTTTGCTTAGCCACTCTTGTACAACTTCTTCTGGAGATGTATTTGGCAGAGTAGATGGTATTAAATCACTTTCTTCCTCCTGCGTGCCCATGCCTTCTAATGCTTCCTTCACTTTTTCTTTGAAAGAATAATCAACCTCTTTATTTTTCTTGTCATTTATCTCCTTTGCAGTTGATTTAGAACCCAAGGAAGTTTGTTTTGAGGAATCTACAATTTCTTTTTGATCTTTTCCCATGGTTAGCACTGATTCGGTACCTGTGCTGCTCACAGAGGAATTCTTCAACGTGGCTGATCGTATCTTTTGGCTGCTTGGCTTCCCTTTTGGTGGGGCTGGGCAATGCATGCTGCATACTGACACAGTCTCTGAAACTGATGCTTGGCTGGAGTTTGACATCTTCACATGAAGATTCCTTGTTGTTCTCTGCCTTGATGTGGAAGATTGAGATATATTTGATTGTGAACACCTGTCATCACTTTCCTGGGATATCTGTGTCAACAAACATTGATCTTTTACTTCTGAGTTTGAAGAGAGTCTTGAGCTGACACTTGCAGGATTTCCATTCTTATTCCCAGTATCAGTTAAGTGGTCACCTTTTGAACATACACTCTCACTCGTACTTCCAGGTCTTGAAGAAGGGGTCTCTGAATTCAGCTTGGAATGACACTCTCCTCCTTTTCCATTAGGGCTTGAAACACTTGAGCACAGGGATGATGGCTTGCTATTCTCTTCCCTCTGGCTTCTCTTCTTTGAACCTTTTGAGGATTCACTGTAGCCGTTAGTGGTACTTTTTGAGCTTTTCTTCTCAGTAATAACAGCAATTGCCTCTGATTCATTAGCAGATGAAATGTTTGAGTGAAAAGAGCCGGAATTATGAGACATCAGCTCTCTCATAGTTTTTTTCTTGACTTCACATGAACTTTTGGAGTAATTAGATACCCTGCTGCATGATCTCAGCTCATCTGCATGTAGGGAATTCTTTTTATTTTGAGTGGATTCAAGAGATGACACAGACATTTCAGACTGTGCATCCAGATGCGTATGACTGTGTTTGCTCTTCTTGGATCCTCTGGAAGAGCAAGAGGCATTGCACAGAATGATTTCATCACTGTCACTTCTCCTGCTGTGCCCGTCACTAGCTATGGAGCGGAGGGTTCCTTGTGCAGAGTATCGTTCACCTTCACTGCTTTCATCTCTGACTGATTGGCTGGGCTTTGTTTTTGGTGACACTGAGCTGACTTCATTGATTTCATTTTTCTCTTGTTCCACTTCTGCCTCTTGAGACTCTTTCTTAGGGCAGGACTCACTGGAAAAGGAGGAGACCACCACATTGTCTTCAGAGTGGTCATCCTGTTCACTCTTTGCTCTTGGCATGCTACAGTTACTAGACCTGCTGTGCCTACTGTTGGCAGGAGTGGAGCATACAGTGTTATCTTCTTCATTTGCCTTCTGAAGGCTGGAGGAGGACATGCTCCTACCCGTGCTACTTGTTTCCTCACATATGTTCTTCTTGCTCTGTCTGGATTGCAGAGATGACCTTGACAAGATGCTCCCAACTCTGCTGCTTTCATCCTCCTCTGCATCCTCCTTCATGTGCTTCACAGAGGAAACATCAAAGCAATTTTCATCTCCGTTCTGTGAATTGGTTTTGCTGTCCTCCTGGTCTTCAGGGACTTCTTGGGGATCCAGGTTGTTTTCACAGCTTGAATGTGATGCTAAACCCAAAGAGGAAGGCCTCTGACTATTGCTTGTGCTTGTCCGGGTGCATTCTTGCTGATCTCCATTGGAAGCACCTGTAGACAAATCGCTTCGACATGTACACTTTTTAATGGAACGATATGCCACCCTGTTCTCTATAGTCTCTGAGTAGGATGATGACTCTCGCACAATGTGCTCAGAGAATTCCTCACTGGATGTGGTGTGGAGGCTATCCACAGAAGCCATTTTTTTGTGGACTACCCTCCTCCGGGAAGATGTGCTGGAGCATGATGACCGTTTGTGCCAGGTGCTCCGTACACTGGGCTCTTCCCTCTGCGAACTGTGCATGGGGTTTTTCCAGATGTCATAGTCCTGATGCTTCTTGCCACAGCTATGACATTGAGCCTCTTCACATTCTGATTCCTCGAGTTTTGACATGTAAGAATCAACATCACATGGATATAATGAATCATCTGCTTCTGAGCTGGCTTCTGGGTTCATTTTGTTTATGGGGTCTACTCCGCTGTCCTCCTCTACACCTGACTCTTCACAAGGCATCTGGCTCATCAAATTGGACTTTTTGATCTGGGTGGACCATTGCAAAGTCTCATCATTTAGCAAGCGGAAGCGGACTTTCATCTCTACAGACAGACTGCCGTCCTTGTTCACATGTACCCGTTTTTCTATGTCATCGTTGACCAAGGAATGGACCAGGTCCCCAGGTTTTGCATGTGCATAATTGTTTGTGAAAGGCGCACCATTATCTGGTGATGTAGTGAGACCATTTGGATAGGACTTTTCTGATGATAAAGAAAATCTCATTGACCTATTGCTTGATGCTGACCGTGGATGAATTACGCTTTTTTTGGCTTTCAGTCCGAAGTTCACTGGAGTTTTGAAAAAGAAAAGAAAGAAGGAGAGAAATGTTTACTGATTTGAAGAAGTCAAAAAATATACAGACTGAACCATAAAAAATAGTGAATATTGATATTGTTCCATTAAAGTTAAACATATGCCAGTTTACCTCATTTGCAAATTTGGCTTTGAATAACCGAAGGCCATAAATGTTAAGTTTTGAATGAATAGTCTATAGTAAAAGCTTCAATACCTTAACATTACCTTTTTGAATCTAAATTGGAATACAAGTACTTTTTTTTGTATTATATAGTGTAATATATGCCAAGAAGGAAAAAATATGCAGAATAATTTAGTCTTAAAGTTTTCCTTTCTTATCACATTGCGAATATTCCTTTATTTACCTGAGCATGTTCTCATTCTTCTTACGCAGTCCAAAGAAACATACATGGAGAAATGACCCACTTCTTTAGCTAATGGTCAAGTGTCATACATTTATTCTGCATCGCCTACTTACCCGCTCACGTGCCAGGAAGCACGGCTGCGGCAGTGTATGCCAGAGCAGCACTCGTTCCGTGCAGACATGTACCACTATGAATAATTATGATGTTTATTAACACAGAAGGGGCAAACGAAAAGGGAAGAGTAAGCTGATGATATTTACAAGTAACTACAGTGGTAGCTGTAGGATCAGTAGAATCAGTGGTAGTAAGGATATTTCAAGAATTTTAATCCAAAGCACATCTCTATGGCCCATTGCAATGATCTACACAGATTTATTCAGGTGCTAGATCCTCCAGTACAAGTGGAGTATGTTGCTATCAGGATGTCTTGCAGGACGTGGGTCTATCTTGTTTCTAATACTTGCATAGCTTGTTCGGAGCTTACTTGCACACCTCTAGACAGCCGTTTGTTTCTGTGGGCATGTGGGCAACTGAATGGAGGCACTTTAGGAAGGAAGTGTGTAACAGGGAACACACCAAACAAGGTCATATGAAATAGCCCCTATCTAACCATCCTTATGCATTCGAACCAACATATTTGTTCGTTCTCTTGATGGACGAAGAGCTTCGGTTTATTCCCCCTCCTCCCTCCAATTTTTTCTGTCTTAGACAGTGAGTATGGGACTCCTCTGTACTTCAGTTTCTTCAGTTAGTTGTCAAAACATAAGTGAGTCCCGGCTCTTGTTATTGACAGTGGAGAGGAAGAGGCACTTTCAGAGCACAATTCATTTCATCCTAAAACAAATCTCTGATGTAGGTGTGATGAATTGCGCTCTGGAAATGGGCAATTTCTCTTCATTGGCTACAGAAGGTGGCTGGGATAATTACCTTTGATGCTAAATAACTCATTATTAGCTGTCCAAGAAATATTGTCCTGAGCAACCTATAACATACATCTTCTTGGATGTAACCTTTCCATACAAACGTTTTGTTTCCAAAGAGCTACACTGCAGGTAGCTGTCAGTTCTCTGGAGACTGGAATACCCTTCAAACCTTGAAAAGTTATACAGCAGGTAGAAAAAGTATAATAAAGTCTGAGAAACTGAGTCTTCTGCTGACAGATACAAGTTTCTAAGATCAGGGCATCCTCTGGTCCCTGTGCAGGCAAATGCAAAAGTGCTGATTTTTATGTGACAGCCAGACAAGGGGACAGAGGATTCGTGGGAAATCTCAAGGGTTTGAGGAGTCTCAGAGGCAGACACAGGAAAGGTGGGCGTTCTGGAAGGAAAAGGAGACACAGAGATATGAAAGACGAAGGGAAGTCAGCCAGACACGGGGAGCATGTAAAAGAAAGACTGGAGGGTGTAGGGAGGAAATCCTAGAAGGAAGCCAGAGAAAAAGAAGGGGAGGATGGAAATGCCTGGGAGGCAGAGAGAGGGAGGCACATTTTGCAAATGAAGCCGCGCACATGAAATTTGCGCATTAGGGCAGTACAATAGACGCCTGCAATTTCCATGTTGTGGGACACACAGGCCTGCAGACAACTTTCGGCTCAAGAGCAAGCTACACTATGCAATCAGCCCCTGAGATTTTCTTACTTTCATTGTTTTCATTGATATTGTTGCCATTGGAACGGGAAGCCAGGCCAGGCAGCTTCTCAGCAGAGTGTTTCCTCAAATTCTCCACTGGTACAGGTTTAAATGGTTCCCGGCCCACACACACTAGCACACTGGGGCAGTGAAGCAGAGCCTGCATGCTGTCGATCTGGAAAGAGAAGAACAAGTGGATTACCATAAGTTGAAGGAGCAGACCTAGGTTTTACCTTCCAGGCCCAGAATAAATTGACATTTAGATAACCCCCCTAAAATAAACGTGGTTATGGAGACAATATAAATAGTAGAGAACTTAAGACTCTATCACAGGCTGTTGACAGGCTCTCTTGCAGTATAATTCCATTGAAGGAGAAGTCCCGCTATGTCTTCATCAGATCTCACAAGATTAGGCAAGGGTTGGGAGATACAGCCTAAGAGAGGACATATCTCATTTTTGGGGAGGTTTACATCTTCTGGCAAAGAAATAAGCATGATCAATGTGAGACTCAGGAAGGGGATGGAACTGGTGTCCTTTCAGGTTCCCTTATAGAGAATTAGCTTCTCTAATTCTTCTAATTTCTGCATGGGACAGCAATTATCACCAAGTAGATGCTGCACGGCAGGTTGATCATTAATTCTCCTCCTTCTGCTCAGGAAGAGAAGAGAGTCGTGACTTTCCCTAATGTTACCTCAAACACTTTCTCAAATATTACCTCCAACATTGTCTCATTGCTGCACAGTGTGGGACACCCCTGTGAAGGACTTCTGCTCCCTCTCATGAGAACCCAGGCTAACAGATGGCCTCTTCATCTCCATCTCATGACCTGTTGCTGGGTTACACATGAAGTCCTTAACGCTGCTGGAAAATTTTCCCACAGCAAAGCGTGCAACATCAACTTTTGAGTGGCCAACACAATAAAATCCAGTCGCCTCCCCATTACTTTTTATTTACCGTTTGCACTATAACAACACCCGCAACCTGAGACCCATTGTGTTTAGCGCTGTAAAAAAGCACAGTAAGAGAGTCTTTGCTCTCTAGAGCTTACATTAGACAACGCTTTGTGTGAAGCAACAAAAATCCTGTGTCTGTATGATTAGTTTCATGAAGCAGAAACAGAAAATATCCCCAGAAGCTCAGTCTATCCTCCTATCTCTATCAGTTCTCGTTTCTGTCAATATATCTACTTTTAGGTCATGCATTTCTAAAAGAAACATCTTTCTAGCTTACTTAGAAAGTGTATAGAAAGCCTATAACTTAATAAATGATAATATTTTGAGCAGGATTTGCCGCATATATTTCTTTTCCTTTACTTTCTTGTTTCTGTTCTGTTCCTTTAGTGAGGTCTTTCCATGTGTCCTCATATAGGTAGAAAAAAAGGAGGAAGACAAAAGGAAAAAGAGAGAAAAGGAAGAAAAGTAGAAATGAAAATCCTTCCTACCCCAGTAAAAAACAAGCTGCCTTTAAAACTCCACAAAGTTTAGCAAATATTTTTATTTGTAAAGGCCATTTTTTCAATGAAAGTTATTTTTTACCCAGGATATTGCTTCTCAAAATTGCCTTTTTAAGGGATATAAACAAAATTATTTCCGATATGAAAGGATCAGATCCTGAACATCCGGACATGTAAGTGCCTCCTCGTGTTACTGAATGTGCTGAGTGAAATCCTGGCCCCATTTCAACTAATGATAGAACTTCCACTGGCTTTTCTGGAGCCTGCATCTCATCTATCTTATCTATCTCAGATGCCAACATCTACATTTACAAAGACTAAACTCCCATTCCTATTTCTATTCCAGGAGTTAGATAGAGCTTTGCATCCAATGCCCGACCCATTGTCCTGTATGGGCAAGTGTTATCTAAAATGTTACCTTAAATGTCACCTTAAATGTTTTTGGTGTTCTCTTTTGAGGTGGAGAAGAAAGAGGGGAGAAAATTAGAGAATGCCCACAAATCTTTATGTCAAATCTGCCAGCCCTGTGCCTTGGATACCTTTGTGTAACTCAGAAGGCTGTAGATGCCTGACCTTAGACAAGAAAAATCTATCCCTTGGCATCAACACAGGGGGAGATAAATAACTCTAGGCTCCATTGACAGGACTTACTAGATCTTTGTGGACTGTGTGATGATGGCGATGTGGATATCTAGCACACCAGTAGACACCTCTGCTTAGATACCTAAATGTATTTGCTTCTTCTTGCACTGGATCCTGACATTAGCTCATATGCAGACAGAATTAAGTGTCTTCATTTCCAAGCTGAATCGAAATACTTAGTAACTGCCAAAATATTTCAATCTGTTATAAGTGAACAGTCAGGACTGAAATGGAAGAAAATGAACTGCTTGTGATAAACATCTTTGAGGGGGTTTAGGAAAACATGAGCAGGAATTTCTTTGTATTACTCAACACCTTGCTCAGGCTCCGTTCAAGCCCTCCTTTGAGTTCCCTCAGTGTAATAATCCTACCATATGAACTCATGGACAAGGCTGTCCACAGTTCAAGGCAGCTCAAAATTCAGACTTAAAATCCACTAGAGTGAAATGTACAGGGAACGATCTGTAGTAGTTTACACTCATGGGTTGAAATAGGCTCCTGCTATAGTTTCATTGCATAACATCTCACAGTGAAATGATGGCTCTCAGTCCTGTTGTAAGCCCTGATTCAAATCCCACTGGAACCGAAGGAGAGAAACTTGTTAACCTCTGCAGACTTGGGATCAGGAACCAAGGGAATTAGGGAGGCTGTGAGTGAAGTTTTGGACCAGAAAGCAGAAAACCTGAGCTCTCAAGAAAACCTTGAACTCTCTTTGTTTGCATCACTCAGCTTTTTTAGTCCACAAACCACTGTGGTGCCTTAAAGATCAGGTGCTGCCATGTGAAAAATGTTGCATTTTGCTGTGTTTAAATTTACATGCACAGACTATTCCAAGCAAATGACGTCTTTGTCTTTATTTTTTATTAAGATGTTTGTATTTATGACAATAAAATTGTGACTGTGCAAAGCAGTAAAGGTTTGTTTACTTGTATACTTCATTATTCCCATACCATAGGAACTCCTTGTCATAGCTGGATATAAATCGTGTATGGATTGGTTCAAAAAAAATAGGCAAAAAAATTATTCCTTCTATTAGAAATGGTTCATGGACACTACTCTAAGCCCCATTTGTGAGGAGACCACCACATGTGAGGTGGAAATAAAAGCACATCCTCTTTTCTGAATTACGCCTTTTCTGTTGATTTGGTTGCTATGCAGTGTGGAGAATGGCTTGTCTCCTTGAACGGTACTGTAGATTAGCCAGCACAATGGGGCTGTGATCTCAGCAAGGACCTCTAGGTGCTACTGTAGCACAATTAATACTATAATTGTCATCTATACCTAAATGGAAGAAAGACAAACATAAAATTTCTAAAATAAGGAATCTGTTGCTTATTGTGGAGAATATCTTCTGATTCTTCCCAGAACCCGCAGAAGCTGTACTCAGAAGCTGAACACAAATGTCGGTTTCTGATGAGGTTAAAATGCAGGGAAATACCCTTGCCTTTTTCTCTGCTGGCTACTGGCCAGCCAAAGAAATTTGAAAGAGTCAGAGAGAGAGAGACAGAAAGGAAAAATAATGCAAGACATATTTGAGATCACAAGTCTACGAGCTGATCCACCTTCCAAAGGAGTGCGGAGATGGGAGGGAGAAACAGGAAAAGCTTGTAATAGATGTTCAAGAAAGGCTAACGGGCTGAGTTCATTGCCTGTCATGCTGACTCATATTGCCTCGTTTCCTTGTGCTCTTTCATCTGTTCTCTTTTGTCTTTCATTCAGATTCACAACTTTCTGGAGCACACACGGCCCTTTTACTCATTAATTGTACCACACTCAGCACAGAGGGATCCAGGATGTGAGCTGGGGTATCCTAGTTTAACTATAGTAAATATTACATTTTATTCATGTAAGGAACCCGTTTGCCCTTTCCATTGCCAAATTTTGCACTGAAGGAATTAGAAAGTGGCTCTTCTGGGGAGTGGCTTTTTAAAGCTATGCTAATCTGTTGGTCAGAGGATGAATCATGGGGTGTAGCCACTCCATGCCCACATACATATTAGCAAATTAGCTGAAGAAAAGAAGGCGGAAGGTAAAGGAAAGTGCTTTACTTGACCTTGCTTTCGCTGACATAGCATGGGCAACCCCCCCCCCTCACCACACACACACACACACACACACACACACACACACTACCAAAATGAAATGCTCCATTTCTGTCTGCGGAGAGGCCATGGGAGTGAATGGATGTGGCATGGGTGTGTACTTCATGCACAGTCAGGAGGTTCTCCCATCACTTCAGAAGGTTGAGCACAACGTACCGTTGAAGTGAAAGTAGGGAACTGCTGCATAGGACTAGGAGGGTGAGAGAATGGATCTGATCTCCTACAAATTGTAGCATCCAGCTAAATAATTCAGAAAAGTCTACACAACATCCCGTCCTCTCCCACATTGGAGCTCACATGATCTCCAACACCTCATATCAAATCTAAGGCCCCAAAATCTACATGCAGGAAGTAGGATAGATGACAATGTCCTAAGCTCTTGCAATAGCAGGGAACCTGCTAAGTGTAAGTGGCATGTTGTTATCATTATTTGATAGTTATATCATGGAAATAGGAACCAACCCATTGCTCCAGATGCTGTACTGTAGCTAAAAGGCGGCAATATAAGATGATTTGTCATGCTAGTACTTCTCAAAACGTCAGTCTCTCCTAGAACTGTTCAGTCATGGGCTGCAGGAAAACTTTTCCTACAAGCTGTCTAGATATCTGTTTTAACCTCTGTGTAAACCTACATGAAAAATGACAGCTTTGTGATCTGGAAATCAGGCCATGTAGCACTAAGCAGGCAAGTAAAATATGTGAAAGACAGAGCACTAATGCACTGTACTTCTTTCTTAGTCAACCACCGGTAAAGATTATGTTTACCTATTATACTGCTGGCAGCTTTTCCTGAAGAACTCACAGAGGCCTGTCCCCTCTGTATGACACTTTATGCATGCATAACGTAAATGTACTGAGTTTGGCCCTGGAAAAAGTCTGGATAAACAGGTCCTTCAGCAGTTCATGAGAAACATTGCAATCAGAAGATTCAATGGCCATTGGAAATCATTTGGGTAGCAGCAGAAGAGAAATACTGC